TGAAGTTGTTCAATTTGTATTCTCAATTGTTTCACTTTTTTACTTTTCTTCCATGTCCATTTTTCCCCAAGATCTACTCTTCACTTCCAAAAAATGGTCCACCTCAAATTCAGAAACTCTCATCACTCTTGCAGCTTTCATTACTTCTCAGTCTTTCATCAGAAACAATAAACCATAGTTTTAGATTCATTTTGTTGTGTATTCTCATGAATATATTTATTCTTAAACCATGCACCCAAAACAAACTAAGCATATATGCCTCAAACAATTACCATTCTCTTTTATTCTTAGGTCTCTAAAGGGCCCTATAATTTTTTCTGTATTCTCTTATCTCATTCCCACCAATCCATTCATGTTACATAAGATATTTTTCCCTAATTCATTCATTCAGAATATTGCACAATTTTTCTCAAAGCTCTTCCTTCCCAGATTCTTTCATTATCACCATTCACTTGGATGCAACATGTCATTTTTATCCGCACCCACAATAATCTAAGCAATATCATATTTTCTAAAATATATTTTAGTCCTTCATTCCTATTTTACCCAACATCTTCACTCCCTGTGTGTATCTGACATCATGCCCCAAGATCAGACCAACTTCACTCAGATCTATTTCATCTTCCCCTTTTCACTTGTCTTCACAAACAACATACCTATATTTTACTGTCACTCATTAATTCATGCTTGTTACCATTTCCTCCTGTTCTAGGCCACAATTTTCTATACACCATGGCCATCAATAGATGGCCCTACAGAGATTCACCTCCACTGCCCATTATGGCTTGTCAATCAAGTCTTTTGCATAATGATTTTTAGAAAGAGAGAGATGTAGATCAGATTTCTAGCCTTAGTCCAAACTGTGCCATATGCAGCATTCTCTGCTAACAATAAGGACAGTAATGGTCAAGGTTGGCACAATTTCACTAGTATGCCACAAGAGCAACAAAAGCCTACATTTACCCTAAACATGTTCAAATTATTTTATGTAAGCTAGGACCTCCAATCTTGAAACTACCTTGCATGCTAACAGAGTGTTACCTGTATCCCAACAACTAGGAGGTATTTTCAGGATCCTAGAATATAGTTAACATTCTGTCCAGAACTTTCAAAATATCTATGTTTATTAACTGTGTCCTGATTTATTTTTTAAACTTTCCATAGAATATGTTTCCATCATAAGGTTATGATGATTTGTTATCACCAGTATTTTAAACCAAATTAAGTTTCCATTAAATTGGGAAAGAAATGTTACGTGATAATTCATGGCTCACTGTGGTTGAGGATTATCTAGATTGGAATATGAAGTTATAGAAGACTGATTCAAAACTTCATGATTGTTTTGTGATTCTATTGGGCTGTGTTTGTCAATAAAGTAGATGAAAGATAAAACTACCACCTGGTTGGTACTGGCCACAGGGTGGGGGTGGAAAAACCTCACCTTAAAGAATTGAGGCAAAGCAATTGAGGAAGTTTGAAACCAGTTCCTCTATTAAGCTAGCAAAGACTACAGTGATCACCAGGCTCCTAGCAAGTGAAGCCCAGAGCCCCTACGTTAGGACAACACAGATCTTATATGGGTTCCATCACATTACATCACAATCTAAGGAGTATAGGCAAATTGAATAATTGTTTTTTGATCATCCAGATAAGGAAGTAGAGGATGTCATCTTTGGAAGTAGGGAGAATATACCTGCTTGCTCGGAGAAGAGAAATCCAAACACAGAGGCAATATCAAAAGCACAGATGCCCTGAGACGTACACCTTCATATTATCATAACAGTGTGATTCTTCTTGTTCTGGAAATATTGGAAAGCCTGAGTTCATTATCCTTGAGTAGATCAGCATAACTGGAGGACATCTGATATATATTTTAAAGCTTCCTCTAGACACAAGGAGGATGTTATATGGTAAAGAAAATGGGTCTTGCTAGTGTCAAGGAAATGACAGTTTGACCTTGCATGTGTATCCGGCAAAAAGAATGCTGCATTGCAAGGCAAATACATTTTATGCAGGATTGCCAGCTACTATGGTTTTCTACATTCTGTCCAGTTCACAAAGTTATTGCTTTTAGCAATTGTACAGGTGAAGAGCTGAATCTCTTCCTGGGAAAATCCAAAGGAGGTTTGAGTGATGTTATTCTCCTCCTGAACTGTATATCCATGCCAGCAGAAGAATGGTGAAAGCAGATCGACAAGTATTTTATTGTTTTAACCATAACAGGAGGAGCTTGTCTGGATTTTCTGCATCAGGAATAAAAATCTCCTAGGCCTGTTTTATAGAGTCAAGCAGATCACACTCCTAAAATAAGAGAAAATAATAGAAAACATCCATTTTGAAAAGGCAGTGCTACAAAAATGCCATGCTGAGATGCATTATGACATCACTTGCTGCACAGCAATGTCTCTTCACTTCTACACAGCTTTACTATGACTTTTCCGCTCAGCAGGAATGACACAAGAGAACCTGCTCCATCGTCTTTGCAGTGGCCATTCTGTCTGCCCTCTCTTCCCAGCCATTGTCTTCATCTGAAAGGTCCTTTGGGCAAAGTATTTTGGAGAGTGAAGCCAGTGTTCCCTGGCTTTCTATCTCACTCAGTTCCAGTACAGACTGAGACCTACATGCAGAGACCTCACTCACTACCCTTCCTATTACATTTCCAAGGAGAAGCTGGATATGTAATCTCCACTCATTGTGAGCCATCTCACTTCCTTTTTGGGCCATTGAACAGAGTCACTGACCCAAGTGTCCTTTTTGTCCAGGGGTGCTGCCACAGGCCCCTCAATCTCTCAATTTTATAGAATTTGTAGAATCAAACTTTACATCAACATTTCCTGGAAGAAGTGATCCTCTGTGTCAATTTTGACCATTTCCATATCAGAGCAATATTGGATTGAAGAGATGAAATCTATATAGAGGAAACTGAATTTTTATTTATGGTCAGTGACCAGCAAATAATGCAGAGGTACACTGTTGCCATATACCTGTTATCTTACTGTGGACGTCATCATCAAGCAGACTTCGAAGTTAAAGCCAGCCATAATTTAAAAAGAGAGTGAGTGTGGCTTTACCAAAATATACCTTCTGCTACTGGTGGTCCATGTATTATTTATTCTTTCATTGACAATAGATGTAGGTAGGTAGGTAGGCTGATGCAATTCACTTCAGAGATGTTAGATTATATGCTCAGTGCAGCTGCATGGAAGCCCTTTTGTTCTAGATGAGAAAAAGATGCTACTTTCTGGAAAAATTACAATAAGGATGAATTGAACAAGGCCTACCCTTGTTCATGCATACCCTCCCCAGGCAGTGGGTTACATTAAAAAGGGAAGGTCTATATCTGATTCTTCTTTTCTTATTTCCAGGCTGAAGGTGTTTTAAAGAGCAAAGGGACTGAAAGGCAAAAGAAAGAGCCAGTACAGAAAGCTGGAGATGGGTTGAAAAGACAGAAAAAGAGATTGAAGAAAGAGAAATACCAAAGTCAGACAGAGTTTGTTGTAGGTACGACTTTGCTAATACATATCAACGATTTAGGAAAAAAGCCACAAAAGGGGGGTGGGGTGGGGTGGGAGAGAGAGAGATGTATGTACATGAATGATAGAATGTTCTAACTTACTTTCTCAGTAAGCAAGGGCTAGATTGGTGGCCATGTATCTTACTTTACCAAGAGCAACCCCGTTTTAAGAGCTATCAGGTTCAAGGTGAATCTAAAGAAAACAAGTCAACAAATGAATAAAGAAAAACTGGGAAGCTGCCTATCCATCAGGAGAGCAGAATAACAGAGTGGGCAAGTTTTCCACTACGGTAGTTCTATTTAATTGAAGTATTTTTCTAAAGTTGAAAATACTCATTTAAATTAGTAGGGCAAGTGTTTTGCACACTTGTGCCATCCTTGGACTCCTTTCCTGATGAAGCTTCTCTGGTTTCCCTTTGGCTTTTCTGGCCACTGCTATAAAGAAGTCACTGGCGTTGCCTCTGGGAAAGGAGCTCCATTGTAAGTATCCCCCTCTTAGAAACACTGTGTGGATCAGTAAGATCTGTTGCTGAAACAACAACGGAGACGCAATCTAAAGTTAAAAAAAAAAAATCAGAACCATCTACAAATGAAGCACTGGGGAAGGGCTCATTCTCTTTCCACATACCAAAAGGAGTGAATATTTCAAAAATGATTTCAAGGAAATACTTCAGAATTTACATGATGTAATAAATCAGCACATGTCTTTCAGGCTTCCACAAGATCTGGGGTTTTAATAAGCCAGCTTATGAACTTCAATGGGGGGTGGGATTTTTAAACCAGTTACATTTTTTTTCTAGGCTCAGGCAGAAATCTAAATAAAGATCAGCTGCTTTAATGAATAGCGGAGAGGTGCTACTCTCCTGTGAGTTCTAAAGTACTTCTGAATAGTTTTCTAAGCATGCTCAGCCCTAATGATCAGCTGAATAAAATTATCTTAATGGAAAAGCTTTGGTGGCCTCACAGCCCATTTTATAAAAGAAAAGCATAAGAACACACATGGTGATACTTCAACAGATCTGGGGGGGAAAACCAGGTAGGAGAAGGTTCCTTCTTAAGGCACAGATTTGGGGAACAGAAAAACTCAATGTTTTTCTCTGTCACTTCACTGTTCTTGTCCTCTCCCAAAGGCCTATGAAGCTGCTATTACACAATTCTATATAGCATAGTCTTTGACCCTACAATTAGTAATTTAAGAATCTCTGTGATGTCCCAAAAATATGAATTACAAAAGGTAATTTCATTCCCAACTATAGGTCTGTGGAATAAAAATACTTCTTTCTTACAGGGAAGCCCAGAGAGAAAAGGGTTGTTAAGAAAACAGTTGCTCACTCCAAAGGGGAGCCAACCGTTGCCAAAAGATCAACCAGTGTGGAAGAGCAAACCCATGAGAGAGATTCGGGACAAGAAGATGCTGAAGTAGAACCTATACGTTGTCTTGTAGAAGAACAAGGAGGAGAAGAAGAAGGTGGTGACCAAGGTCTTCCTGGTTCTAGCACCCTTATGGAGGAGCATTCCTTGACACTTGATATGCACCAAACTTTTAGTGAAGAAGTTGGCTATACTTCTGGGTTTCATCCAGGGCCTGCTAGTGAGACATCCATCACTACCTACAAAGCAGCCTCCACTGAGAATGGTTTCCAGGCTGATGCAGTTCAGGGAAATCAGCTTATGGAGGTAAGGTTTGCTTTTTTTTCAAGTAGAGGCACATTTAAATTGTCCTTATATAATTTATGCATAACATAGCTTATGATAAAGTGGAAACTGACTGTTTCATGGCCACCTTTGTATCAGATTTATCTGAATTAGAAGTGGACACTGTTTATTGTCTGCAAGACTAACAGCAGACTCTCATGAATGTCTGATGAAAAGTAAGCTCCTCTGCCCTGGTGGGATTTACTCCAACATTTGTGTATGGAACTGCAGAGCCTAATAGGATATTGCAAGGCCTTGAACACATTGCCTTCCTCGTCATTCCATAAGTAAGGAAATAGTTTCAGAAAACAAAATTATACAGAAAAAAGCAGACTTTGAAGATAATGCAAAATTGAATCTCCTGCTAATTCTAAACATTATAGTAGTCGTCGTGCCACAGCTTGCTTGCTTTGTTTGACAAGGTGTAAATGGGATCAAACTTTATTTTCAAATAAACAAATCAAAGGTAAATATTTCTTTTTAACATCATGTAATCACATGTAAAACGTTAAATGGTGGAGGAGTTCAAAATATAGAATTGCTAAAATCACAGACAGCAACTTAAAAGGTCCTCCAATAGATAAAGTTAAAATTATGACAGAGCACAGGATGATGCAGGTCTGCTTCTAGTCTACAGGTAAGTCTGATATAAAGAGGTAAAAGTTTGCATAAAATGCAGGAAGGCTGAAGTTGTATGGATACAATAATCACCAGATACAATACAGCATTAACTGGCAGATAGAGGAAAGAAATTAAACTAACTCAGCTGACGTTTTCATGCTCCTCAAGAGAATAAACTATTCTTGAGACAGATCTTACCTCTATGCCAATTTTGTTATGAGAAAACATAACATATGAGCAAACTCCTGTTTAAATCTATGGCTGAGTGGAAATGGTAAATCCTACTAGTTTCCAGACTTTTAGCCAGAAGCCTTGGCTCAATTTTTAAAAAGGCAAACTATTTTTCTCTTTAGGAGAAATAGAGGTCTTTCTTTTCTTTTTTAATCTGACTTTGTACATGACCCAGGCACATAACTCTTGCAAATATAGATTTGGAATGTCTCAGTACTGCTGGCTGGTAAGGGAATCCATTTACCGCACCCTATTTTGCTTTGAAGGAGGCAGAAGTCAGGGTGAAATAAGAATTTCTACACATCAGGAAATGGACCTCTAACAAGCATCCTAGAAGTGTAGTGTTTCAGAGAGAAGACTAGCTTTCCTACAATTTCCAGTGCGCTGTAATTAAGCCAGAAAAAAAATGCCACAGTTCTCAAACTCTGGCAATGTTGTGAAAACTGATTTTGAAACTAGTGCAGAGTCATCCCATGGAAGTTCTGTAAAAGGCATAGGGACGACCAGTGCGTTATCAGGTTAAATCACCATGCAGTGATAAATCCCGCTGGATGACCCTTGGCCGATCATTAACTCTCAATGTAACCTGTCCTACAGAATTGTTAAGGTAATAAACTTCAAGGCCCTTGGAATAAAAGCAGACTATAAATGTATATAAGATTATGTTTGTTATAAATTTGATAAAGTTTGTCAGAGGTCTGATAGTTGAAATAAACCCCATGTTTTGGAAATGCTCTTCTCCAATTCATTAGCGAAGTCCAGGCCAGACTAAGCCTTTGATCCTAATCCATTCTTATTCTCCTTTTCAATTGACCAGGATCTGTCCCTGCACAAAGAACAGCTGAAACTATCACGAGACAGGATAATAGCAGAAAGGGCAGAAGAGAGACGGCTAGCAGTGGAGAGAAAACGAAAGGAGCGGGAAGAGCAGAAACGGAAAGAGCAGGAACAGCAGGAGCGTATGGAGAAAATGAGAGAAGAAATGGAACAGGAGAAGCAAAGGAGGATTGAGGAGTTTCGGTTAGCAGAAAGAAATAAACATCCTATTTGACAAGAGAAGATGTGGGATTCTTCCACGCCTTCCCCTTTCCCATCCAAAAGATACCAGGAAACCATAGGGTGCTTACCTCTCCCCAGTCCCCCAAAGCATTTTGAAGCTTTGGAAATTAAGAACAGGCAGGGGACCCCGTGAACCCAGTCAGTGCTCCCTCCAGCCAACCCTACAGGAGAGTGAACGTATTGTTCTTAGCATGCTGCTCCTGCTTTAGAGTCACCGCAGCTCCTAGTGTAACAAGAGTCTTCTCGCCCCACCATACAGAAAAGAGGAAAAAGTAAATTGCTAATCCTCTGCCCCTGAGGTCTCCTGACAAACTTCCAAGCTATGGCTTGGGAAGAATTATTTCTAATTTTTTCTTCTGGTATTACCAGCTCTTCCTCTAGAATGCACTCCCTGGCAATGCTTACCTGCGTCCTACTGGACTTTTATGGCTGACTTTATTTTCTCTTAGTTTAAGAAAAGAGCAGCTTGAAGAAGAGCGTCAGCGCCAGGAAGAGGAGGCAGAAAGCGAACGACAAGCTGAGAAGGCAGCCCAAGAGCAGGCCCGGCGGCTCCAGGAGGGGCAGCGCCGGAGGTTTTTGGAGATGCAGAAGAAGAAGCAGGCGGAGGAACTGGAGCGGGCAGGTGACCTGAGGCGGGCCATGACGTCAGAGCCAGCCCCAGCTCTGTGAAGGTCCTTTAACGAGGCCCTGTCAGGGACTCCCCGGCTGCATTTTAAACTCCCCAGGAAGTTCTTAAGTGCCTGGCACTGTGGCATTTGGGGGCAATGTCACCAGTGAAGATAGCAGGGCCCACTAGGCGGGACTGCTATTTTGCATGTCTCACAATGCCCTGGGTTGCTGTATTTTTTTAAAACATAAAGTGGATTTGTGTTTGTTTTAAACAGAGGGATAATATTACGAAAAGCTGCCAAAATCAGTTCAAATATATCCCATCCCATTCCTTTTCTATCCTTGACAAAGTGCCCTACCCTTTTTCAAAAAATCAACCTCCCTATCATTTGCCTACACATCTACTACTACCACTCCCCAAATTCACGACAATACACAGAGGATGGGGGGGGGGGCAAGGGAGAAAACCACAAGGAAGGAAAGGAAACGGTAAACTCTGAGTAACAGCTTTATATACCCTTAAAAATTTGGAATCAGAGTCATTATTCCTGGTATATGGATGGAAACATTTTCATGCCTTTTCATCAGTTCAGTGCACATTCTCTATCCCGCTGGATGACCCTTGGC